TCAGACCCAGAGATACGGAACAGACAGTCGCGCTGCTCTCCCGGACATCCTCTCTCAGCACTGGAGGGAGGGCCCAGCCATTCCCTGGCTTTCAGCCTCAATGAGCAGCTGCTGTCCTTGGTGCTGCCTGCGGGACTAGGATGGGGAAAGCCCTGGTCTAGTCCGGGTTGTGTTGGGTAGTGGGAGGAAAGGCAGGAGGGAGGGGCTTCCCTAGCTGTCCCTTTGACTGGGAAGTAAGCTAGACAAGGTGACTTTGTGGGCACGGAGGCCTGGTGTGGGAGGGAGGAATGTCAGGCTGGAGGTGGGGGCTGCATACCTCGTTCAGGAGTCCAGGCATTTAGAGTCCAGAGGCAAGCCATCCAGGTGCATGAAGCAGTGTCTGCATTAACCTCCAGCTCTGGGGTGGGGGTGGGGTGGGTTTCCCTCCTTGTCTCCCCTGGCAGGAGGATGGGGGCACCCTGTGCAGCTGTTTGATTTGTCCTCTGCCTACGGTAGGGTGGTTTCCCCTTAGCTGGCTGAGGTGGGCCCCAAGGACCCCTCCTTTGTCCCCAGCATCCTGCTATCCTAATGGTGATATCTGGTACTTTGCAGCCTGATGGGTTTGGGGCTTAGAAACTGGAGGGCTGGAGGCCTCTCCACCCCCCTCAGCAGCAGGTGCAGCAGAGAGTGGGGTGAGGGCTGAGAGGCCAGCTCGGGCCTGTTAGGTTTTCCCTCTGGCGTTGCCCCTAGCAGCCTCTGCTCAGCTTGGTAGGGATTCCCTGCGACTGTATAGAGCACTCTTGTTTTGTGCTGTGAACATCAGACTGGGTGGGGGTAGGGCGTAGGAGGAGGGCGGGAGGACATCAGGCTGTGCAGCTCCTTACTGGCTCTGGTGGAAAGCATCCTGGTATAGGAAGATAGTCTGAGTTTACCTTTGGCCACAGTGGCCTGGGGCCGAGGGTCCCCACAGAGAGGCCATGGACCCTCAACCTTCTCAGTGTCCACACCCCTTAGAATTCTTGCGGGGGTGGGGTGTCACGGGGGAGGGCATGATCACAGCTCTGCTCTTTGGGATTGGGGAGGGAAGGGCTGGCCTGCAGGACTGAAGAGATCTGCTTCCCTCCGCTCTTCTTCCTCCTCTCCTCCCCTGCAGGTTCGCGGTTGGGGGACTTGGGGAGAGAGGTGGAGGGGGTCCTGAGCACCCTCTGGGGAGTGAGTGAGCTCCTCTTCAGGAGGCAGGCTGGAGGTCAGCTGGCTTTGGGGAAGGGAACGGAGGTCCTTAAACATGGGCAGGAGTCTGCCTCTGGGGTGGCCAGGACAGGATCTCCTTGTTACTTCCTTCTCTGCATCCCAACTTTGCTGTCCCGTTAGCTGCCCACGGCCTGCGAGAGGAACCCGAGTTTGTGACAGCAAGAGCTGGTGAGGCTGTGGTCCTGCGATGCGACGTGATCCACCCGGTGACAGGGCAGCCCCCACCCTATGTCGTGGAGTGGTTCAAGTTTGGGGTGCCCATCCCTATCTTCATCAAGTTTGGCTACTACCCACCCCATGTGGACCCTGAGTATGCAGGTAAGGTCTGGGACCCTTCGCCTTCTCTCCTTGGTTTTGACAGGGCTGCCCTTCCCCTCCAGGGTCCCAGCTCTCAGTGGTCATGCCTCCTGCTGCCTTTATTTCTATTGCTTCCTCTTTTTTTTCTGACTCGTCTATTATCTCTGTTTTCCACAGTCTCTGCCTCTTTCTTCCCATCCTTTGGACTCTGGTAGGTTCTAATTAAGTGGTGGGGAGGAGAGGGAAGAGGAGGTAGTGCAGACATGGAGCCCTCCTAAACCACACAGCCTGGGGTTTGCAGGAGCAGAGGCAGGAGTAGAAGACAAGGCAACCTAGAAAGTCCACCCTGTGGGACAGCCAGGTTGGGCTGAGGGCAGCTCCGTGAAGGAGGAAGCGGAGTCAGAGCTGCTGCCCGTGTCTAGTCGTGCAGCAGTTGCAACTGTGGGGTTTGCTCTGTCTGCCTGTACCCACACCTCCCTCTGGCTCTGAAGTTGGGCCTCATCCCATCCCTGAGTGTAAGTGTGTGTCTGTGCCTCTGGTGGGTGCCTGCTCTCTGCCTCCTCTGCCACAGTTACTCCTGCCAGCAGTGGCATCACTGTGAGTCACTGCCAGCCCCTGTCTGCCAGCCTGTCCAGGAGCAGGGCGTGGGGCGTCTGTGTGTGTGTGTGTATGTGTGTGTGTGTGTGTGTGTGTGTGTGTGTGTTTGTGTTTATGAGCATGTGAGGAATGGGAGTGAATGTGTGCACATGTGAGTGTTTGTGTTTATGAGCATGTGAGGAATGGGAGTGGATGTGTGCACATGTGAGTGTGTGTACATATGTGTGTGTGTTGGGGTTTAAGGGAAGAGAGGAAGCTGGTGGGACACTGCTTTTCTTTACTTCTGACTACTGAGGTCTGCATTGCATTTCTCTCAGAAAGCTTCCATTTCTCTCTGTCCCTTTCCCTCCCTCTCCCTCCTTTGCCTATGTCTCTCTCTTTTTGGCCTGATTGGTTTTGACAGTCAGGTCGCTAGGCAGATTTCCAGTGCCGAGACAAGGAGGAAGGCAGAGGAGGTTGTGACCCTGGGGTGAGGGGTGGGCTAAGGTGGTAGGTGAGGGAAGGAGGACCCTGAGGGCTGCTGGACATCCTCTCTCATCATAGAGGAAGGAAGCTACTCCCTACTCTGTTTGGCTCCTCCTACAACTCTTACCTTCTTAGTACAGTGAGATAAACGTTTCAGTGAGACAAAGATGGCCTTCGAAGGGTGGAAGATGAAGTTAAGGAGGCTAACTGGGGGTCTTTGCTCTGCTGGCCAGCCCTTTCCTCAGCCTCAGGCTTATAGGCCTTGCAGCCTTAGCACCTGGGGGCCCTGAGCTCTGGTTAGATGAGCAGCCCCTCTGGCACTGGCATCAGGACTAGTAGAGGATCCCAGCACCCTGTCCCCTGGCCTGCCTTTCCTCTGCCCTGCCATAACGTAGCCAGACAGGGGTGTAGGGTGTGGGGCCCTGCTTGGATAGGGGTGTTACTCCACCTGAGTGGAGATGCTCAGGACTGTGTAGACCTTTTACCTTCTCTCCCTCCCTTCTTGCTCCCTCCCTCCCCCTCTCCCCGCTCCCTTTCCTTCTCTCTTTCCTCTCAGCTCTGTATCCCTCATGTCTTTGCTTTGTCCTAAGAGATCTCCAAAAGAAGGGGAAGTATTCTAAGGAACGGAGGCTCTTCTCAGTGCCAAACACAGAGTTGCAGCTTGAATGGGGGCCAGCTGAGGCTGGAGGGCTGGGGCGGGATTGTGGCTCCACGGCCAATGCTTCATGCCTTTTCTTTTGCCACCTGCAGCCGGAGGTTGGTGCCAGCTGTTGTTTTGGGGCCCTGCCATGGGAAACGGTCTGCAGGTTATGATGGGCCCTCTGCCTTTGGCTGGGGAGGGGGATGTTGAGTTGCTGGCCTCACCCTGATGGCTGCTGCAGCTCTTGTCCATTCTGTCCCCCAGGCCGGGCGAGTCTTCATGATAAAGCATCACTGCGGCTGGAGCAGGTTCGCTCTGAGGACCAGGGCTGGTACGAGTGCAAAGTGCTCATGCTGGACCAGCAGTATGACACCTTTCACAATGGCAGCTGGGTCCACCTCACCATCAACGGTGCGTACAGCCCTCCTTCCTGGGGGTGGGGGACAACTGGAAAGCCCGCTCTCTGAGGGCCTGTGTTAGGGGAACTGTACCCCATTTCTGCTCCCAGTCTCTGCTGCAGAGAGGAGCCTCAGCACGGCTGGGCCCCACCTGCTTTGCCTCCTCAGTTGTCTCCCCAGAGCCTCTTGGGTCAGCAAGTGCCTGGGAGGAGCAGCTCCCTGGGCATGAGGCAGGGGTTTGCTGTGGGTGGTGGTGTTAGAATTCCTTAGAGGGAGGTAAGCATCTGGTTCTTGAAACCAGGAGGGTTAAGGCTTTGCGGAGGCCAAAGCGATAACTGCTGGTACAATTTCCCAGCCTTGGGAAGACCCTGCTAGCCTAGGAAATGCCTCCCCACTCTTGAGTGGAATTCCTGGAGTCTCATCATTGCAATCCTCCTTTTCAGGTTGACATTTTGGTTCCTTGTTAAATGTACTTATTTGCATATTATGTACTGAAGGTCTACTGTGCACCACTATAGTAGCCCACTACTCTGCACCAGATGATGGGAAGACAATGCTGAGCAAACCCAGACTCAGTCCCTGCCTGTACTGGGTTTACTGTGTAATAAAGTGGAAGAATCTTGGGAAGAGTAACAGTTTTAATGGTCATCAGTTATTTATAGCTCTAGTTAAATGAATTTTCAAGTGTCTGGGCAAGGAAGCCTCAGGCAGAGGCCCCAGGGTAGTTTCCTGGTTCCCAGTGTTGGCCTAGGCTGGGGTCCTGGGTCTGTGGCAGTGATGGTACCAGAGGCTGAGTCCCTAGGGTCTCCTCGTATGGAGAGGCCCCCTTGTGTCACTGGGAGTCCTGACTTGGGAGGAGATCCTGTGGAGGAGCGAGGAGAGGGTGGAGCTATGAAGAAAATTTGAAGGAGAGTGGTACCCACTGGGTGTGGGGCAGCAAACACTTTCTGTTTTGTTTTTCTGGCCAGACACTTATTCTTTTTTTATTCAGTTTATGACAAAATGTATTCAGCCACCACTGTGCTGCAGACACTATGATAGTTATTGAAGCTTCCACAGTGTATATGCTTTGGATGTGCACACACAGCTTGGATCCTTCTGGTTTTGATGTCTGTGACTATAGATGCTGTGGTTGGGAGAGACATTGATGCTCTGGCTTGGAAGCTTCTCTCAGTATTGATCTGCTTTGAAGGACAGCTCTGTCTGCCCTCCCTTGTGGGGCTGGGTCATTCCTCCCAGAGGTTGGGTCAGGGCATGCTCTTTCTGGCCTGGAAAACTTATCCAGGTTTCTGGAAGCACAAAATGTTTTAGTCAGAGCACTGGCCTCTGGGAAAAGCACACTTAGAGATGGTGGCCCTAGGTCAGTGTTAGCCCAGGCTGTCAGACCCATTTGATGCAGTCGGTTCCTGTCAGCCAGTGCCAAGAGACTGATTAGAGGCTGATTTTAAATCTTGGGTGGGCTGTCCCCACCACTCGGCAAGCTTTTGAGTCACCTCCTTTTAATGCCAGCTGTTGTGTGTGCCGGGAGTGAAAACTCATCTTAATATTAGTGTAACCAAAATATAATTAGGAAGGTAAATTTGCTGCTAAAAGCTTCACTGACTGAACACTGAAGCAGAAGTCCCCACATTGCTTTCTTTCTCTCTCATGCCCTTTCCTAAACTGGGCTGAAATCTCCTCCAAGCACCTCCTCCTTCTCCTTTTGCATCATCCCGCTAGTGTTCATTTCAGCAATCTGAGATACCAGGTGTTCAGTAGACACTCACATGACAGGAAGTAGAATTTAGTGCAGAACTGTGTGTTTTATTACATCTTAGTTTGCATGAGTGGGAGTTGATTCTTTGGGAATTCCTAATTGCTCAGAGTGGAATGGGCATGGAATAAGACCCTAAAAAGATTTAGTTTATTTCGTGACTTCATTGCATGTTAGCTTTGTGATCCTGGGCCACTTAAATCGCCTCTCTGAGCTTCGGTTTCCTCAGTTACCAAAAACAGTGCCTGTTTGCAGGGCTCAATGAAACTCTGTGTGAGAAAGTGTCTTGCCCAATTTCTGAAATGTTATTGACATGTAGGTAATTATGTGTAAGATGCTGGCCATCCTCCTTCTCAAGAGAGAAAATAGATGCAATCAGATGAAAATATACCAGCAGGGACGTGGTAACACAGGAAGGTACCTCAGGCTGGAAGATGCAGAGGACTGTGGTAGTTGAAAAGTCCTTGCAAATCCACCCATGATTATCCATTCAAAACGTATTCTTGAATGTTCACTCTGTAGCAGGCTTTGGGGATATAGCAGTGGGCAGGCAAGTCCAGAGACAGTTGCTATATGGCCTTTGGGAGCATAGGGTAAGGAGAACTTCTCTGAGGAAATGTCTCTTGTGCAGAGACCTGGCCAGGGAGGAGTTGGCCAGGGAGGAGTTAGCCAGGTGCAGGGGTGGGAGGTAGGGGAGAGTATTCCAGGCAGAAGGAACAGCGCGTGCCTGCAAGGCCAGAAGAAGGAGTGCTGGCACATTCAGGAAACACGGGCAGGTTGTTTATATTGAAGTGTCAGGCAGAAAAGCTAAGAATGTATACCATCTGCTCCAGGCTTTAGAACCAGGGCTCCTCATAAGGATACTTTGCCCTTTCCAAGAAGCCTGCCCCCCAGATAGATAGAACAGCATAGACACCGCCTGAGGTGACAGCCGAAATCTCTTTCC